AAACCCACAACATATTAACCCTCTAACTTCTCAACCTTTTTTTTTTTGGTGAAAATACACATAGCCAAAGATACACCGTTTCAAAAATTTCTACATCTACGCATTTCCTTTTCATCTTTTTCATTGTTGTTAATTTTGTATTTGCTTAGTCTTTATATTTTTCTTGTTTTTATTTTGATGTGTAGGATTGTCAGTTTCCTTTGTGGTTACTTTAATATTTATCCGTATTTTTCTAAGTTTAAACCAGTCCTTTATTTCTTTATGTTGCCTTGACTTCCTCTCTGTATGAAAGATCTCTTGACTACATTTTTTAGTGCCTCTTTTTTGTTTTAATGTTGTCATCTTGTACATATTTACATGTTTCCCTATTTTCAGTGTTTTAGCTTTTTAAAAAAAAAAAATTTTTTTTTATTGTACTTTAGGTGAAAGTTTACAGAACAAATATTTTCTTATTACGCAGTCAGTATGCATGGTGTTTTATGACATTGGTTAACAGCCCCACAACATGGCAACACTCTCCCCTCTCGACCTTGGAGGATGTTTTTTCTTTTTTGGTGAAAATATACATAGCCAGAGATACACCATTTCAAAAATTTCTACACGTACGATTTAGTGACATCGATTACATTCTTCCAGTTGTGCTGCTGTTCTCACTATCCTTTTCCAAATTATTCCATCAGCATTATCTTCAACTCACTGTCCCCTGGGCTTCCTATCAAACCTTTTGAGTTGCTCTGGTCAATTTCATCTCACATAGATCATTCTTTTTTTTGTACTTTAGATGAAGTTTTATAGAACAGAATAGTTTCTCATTAAACACTTAGTACACATATTGCGCTATGACAATGGTTAACAACCGCACGACATGTCAACACTGTACTTTCTCAACCTTGGGTTCCCTGTCACCAGCTTTCCTATCCCCTCCTACCTTCTAGTCCTTGTCTGTGGACTGCTGTGCCTCATTAGTCCCGTTTTGTTTTGTGGGACTGTCCAATCCCTGGCTGAACGGTGAACTTTGGGAGTCACTTTACCACTGAGCTAAAAGGGTGTCCCGGGGCAATACTCTTGGGGTTCAGTGTTTCAGCTTTGATTTATTTTTTTGACTTCCCTCTTTGTGTCGATATCTGGTTGCTGTGTCCTGTGTTCTGGTCTTGCGTTGTTATCTGATGTTATTGATTTTCTAACTGGGGAGTCCCTTTTGTATTTCTTGTAATTTGGGTTTGGTTTTTGCAAATTCTCTAAACTTCTATTTATCTGAAGTGCCCTAATTTCACCATCATATTTGTTAGACAGTTTTGCTGGATATATAATTCTTGGCTGGAATTTTTTTCCTTCAAAGCTTTATATATGTCATCCCATTGCCTTTTTGCCTGCATAGTTTCTGCTGAGTAACCTGAGCTTAGTCTCAATGACTCTCCTTTGTAGGTGACTTTTCGTTTATCCCTAGTCGCTCTTTAAATTTTCTCTTTATCTGTGGTTTTGGCAAGTTTGATTATAATACGTGTTGGTGACTTTCTTTTGGAATCTACCTTATGTGGTGTTCAATGAGCATCTTGGATAGATATCTTCTCATCTTTCATGATATCAGGGAAGTTTTTTGTGAACAAATCTTTAAGAATTCTTTCTGTATTTTCTGTTATCCCCTCCTGTTTTGATACTCCAATCACTCGTTGGTTATTTCTCTTCATAGAGTCCCACATAATTGTTAGGTTTTCTTCATTTTTAAAAACTCTTTTATCTGATTTTTCCTCAAATAAGTTGGTGTCAAGTGCTTTATCTTCAATCTCACTAATACTGACTTCTACTGCCTCCATTCTGCTCTTAGGACTTTCTATTGAGTTGTCTAATTCTGAAATGTTATTCTTCTGGATTTCTCATGGCTGTCTCTCTATGGATTCTGTAAGCCTATTAAATTTGTCATTAGTCTCTTGAATAACCTTCTTAAG